AGTGCTTAACAAATATTTATAAAAGATAATTACACCATATTTTCATTCTAATATTCCAACAGAAAGTAGGTTTCCTAAAGCATTTTACTGCGTAACTCTCAGTACAGATTGCTGACCTTCATTTACTTTAAAGGACCAGCATCTGTGCTGTTCCACATGGAAATTCCTGAATCCATCACTGTAAGTAAATGCTTTAGAAAAAGACTCAATTCTCAGTGCCTTACTCTCTGTTCTCAAAACTCGCTTCTTAGATGTGGTTCCATAGTGTAGCAGTTAGCACGTCTGCTTTACATGCAAAAGGTCCTGGGTTCGCGCCCCAGTGGAACCACAGTCCGTGGTCTACGGCCATGCCACTCTGAACAAGCCCGATGTCTGATCTCAAGAAGCTAAATAGGATCAGGCCTGGTCAGTACTTGGATGGGAGACCACCTAGGAAGACCAGGTGCTGTAGGTATAAATAATAATAATAAATTAAAACAAAACAAAACAAAAACCTTGCTCCTCCCTGAGAGGGACAACAATAAAGAATTCCAACTTCAAAATTCTCAGATCGGACCAGGTGAGCAAGCAAGCAAGAAAGAAAGAAAAAGAAAAATACATGAAACAGTTGTTCCAAGCCACAGGACATCAAGCAATGAAGGACTGGGAGTCCGGAGTCCGAAGGCTCATGATTGCCTCAGCTTATAGCCTTGAAGAAGTTTCTAGGAAAAGACACAGGAAGAGGGAATTAGGAAAAGCCCAGCAGTTTCCTTGAGTTGAGGAGACAGAACTTAGAGTCTCAAGAAACCAGGGCAGCTAGACTTCATGGAACAGAGAAAAAGAGAGGTGCAAAAATCTCCCTCAAATACTCAGCAGGGTACTGATCAGTACACATGTGTTAGGGCACTACCAGAGGCTGGAGAAAGAGCCTACTAAGGGGCCAGAAACAGTATCTGCTCCCCCCAGCCTGACTGGAAAATTCATAATTCGTGGGTTATTGGATAAAGTACTCAGGAAGGTCTTGCCTTAGTAGTGGGAAATAATCAGTCTTAGACATAGAACATCACTCCAAACCCACCTGGCAAATCAGAAAAGCAAGACCAGAAAAAGATTGAACTGTTTCCAAGTAATTTAACAGCATCCCAAAATATAGCTGAAGAAGATTCGTAAGAATGCAAAAATATTCGGTACCCAATCAGGTAAAACTCAAAATATCTGCCATCTAATCAAAGATTACCAGACATGCAAAGAAGCAGGAAAGTACAGTCCACAATGAAGAAAAATAATCAATTAAAATCAACCCAGAACTGATAGAGATGTCACAATTATCAAGAATGTTAAAACGGTTATTATAACGGTAACCCATATATTCAAAAAACTTAAGGAGGATATAACGAAGACCTAAATGAAAATTCTGCAGATGCAAACCATAATCTGAGATGAAAAATACACTGCACAGGATTAAAAGCTATTTAGACATTACCAAGAAAATATTAATGAATTGAAGACATTGCAATAAAAACTGCCTAATCAAAACATAGAGCAAAAAAAGAATCTCCTCGCCCCCTCCCCAAAAAAATCAGTGAGCTATGAAACAATTTCAAGTAGTCTAATGTACAGGTAATTTGAGTCCCTTAAAGGCAAAGTGGATTTGTTAAAAGGACTAATAAGATCAATAAGCCCATGGTGAGGCTGATTAAGAAAAAAGACAATACAAATAATATCAGGAATAAAAACGGGGACATTGTCACAGACGTTAAAGAAATTTAGAAGATAATACAATCTATTTTTTCAAATGCCAACACATTTGAAAATTTAGAATTGAAAAATTCCCTATTATGTACTACTTAACAAAACTGGCACAAGAAGAAACAGAAAATCTGAAGAGCCATTTAATGAGGGAAAACTGAAACCAGAATTTAAAACCTTCCCACAAAAAAACTCTAGATCTAAATCCAGAAAATTCCACTGCATGTTTATGAAAGAAATAATGCTGCATACAAATTCTATCTGAAAATAAAAAAGGATAAAAAAAATTACCCAATCTATTTTTTGAAATCTGAATAATGTAATACCTTTAAAGGCTATTAGGAGAAAAACTTTTTCCTTAATAAAACAATATTTGATAACACGATTGGTTTTATTCTGGAATGCAAGATTGGGTTTATATTCTAAATTCACCATATTAACAGAGTAAAAAGTTATATAATCATTTCAACATGATAAAATCAAATATACACCGATGATAAATACTTAGCAAAGGAATATTAGAAAATTAATTTCTTAAAAGTTATCTATAAAAACATAAAGATTATCTCATATAACTGCTCATGTGATCAAGGGAATCTATAAATAAAGTATTACAATTAATAGACGAAATTAGTGAGACTGCTCAATACGAGGCCAATATACCAAAATCAACTGCATTTCTATACCAGGGGTACAGAAAATGAAAAAATGTAATACAAATTGCAAGAATATTTTAAAAATCCATATCTAGGAATAAATATAACAAAATATATATCAGATATTTAAACAGGAAACTATTTAAGAGTTATGATAGTTAAATTGCAGTTGAAATCACAATAGGTTTTTGTGACAATTGAGAAACTGGTTCTAAACTGACAACTGAGAAATTCAAAGGGACAAGAATATCTAAGACACTCCTTATGAATAAGTTGGGAAGGCCTGATCTTCTGAACACCACGTCTTATTACATAGCTACAGTAGTTAAGGCACAAGGATACGCAAATCAATGGACTCCAGCAGCCCAGAAACATATATAAGGACATTTTATTTATGACAAAGATGGAAATGCAAAGCAGTGGGGGAAAGAATCACCTCTTTAATAAATCATGCTAGGCCAATTTGGTATCGTATAAAGGAAAAAAAGCAAAACAGGATCCCTGTTTACACACAAAAGTAACTTCTAGGGGGATTGTAGATCTAAATGAGAAAAGTAAAACAAAGCTTCTAAAAGAAAACAGAAGAAAATCGTCAAGATATCACGGTAGAGATATCAGAATAACTTCTTAAACACAAAAATTTAAATCAAATTAAAAGATAGATATATTAGACTCCATTGGAATTAAGAAATGTAGAATTTCAAGGAATGAAAGGCAAATAAATATTTGCAATACATATATCAAAGGGCTCATATCGAGGATAGTCCTAGATCAATCCTTACAAATCAATTTTTTGAAAGACAACCTAAGAGAAACACACAAGAATTGAAGAGGCAGTTCAAAGAAAATATTGAAATGGGCACTAAAAATACAAAAAGGTATTCAATCTCAATAGAAATTAATGAATGCAAATTAAATATATGAGAGACACACATACCAAAATGGCTCAAGTGAAAAATATGGAAAATATTAGGTGTTGGCTAGGATATCTTACCAGCTGTGCATAAGCGTTCTTACACCTCCATATCCTAGCCAACACAATACTTTCCATCATTGCCCTTCAGCCATTTTGGTGGATGTATGTATATTCGTCCCTCTCATTATCTGCCAAAGCTAAAGATAAACATGCAGAAATTCCACTTTCAGTTACATACACAACAGAAATGCTTATAATGTACACATACTCCATGACTGACTGAATTCATATAAAATTCAAAACATAGACAAAACTAAGCTATAGTGTTTAGGGATTTCAACTCAGGAGATGCAGCTATGAAGGAAAGAAAAGAAGTGATTTCCTAAAAGTCAAGACAGTTGCCTTTGGAAGGGGAAGGTGTGATGACGGGAGAGAACACTGCAGGAGGCTCTGGCATGCGGCCAACGTTCCATTCCCTGTCCAAGGGCAGTTACTAGGGGGTTCAGCTTGTAAAAATCACTGACCTACATAAGTGTTTTGTGAACTTTTCTGTATGTATATTTCATATATACACAAGTGTAAAAAGTTATCTAACCAAAACTATTATAAAGCGTTTATATAATTTAACATAAACTATTATAACATGATTATATAAATTTAATGCAAAGACAAAGAAAAGAGAGGGGTGACCACGTGGAGTTAGAATGAAAGCGTTGGAATGAGTGTTCAAGAGACTGGGAGCTTATCCTCCATAATGAGAAGCCAGTAGTACAGCACCTATAACTGAAAATCAACCATACTATTTAAGGATATTAAAGTAAATACCAAATTATCAGCTAAGAGAGAAAAGTGCTAGTCCTAGGGAAGGGCAAAATTGTAGCTACGAAGTTGGAGGCCTATTTTTTACCTAACCTACCCATTGACTCTTTAAAACCTAAAGAGGTTGAGAATTATGTAATTTTAAACCTTAAAATAAAAACCCAAGGGAAAAAGAACATCCTAAAACGTCATAGTTTACAAGCAGAATCCTCGTCACCTCGTCACCTCGTCTCTTGCTTGCTCCTTCACTTCCACCACATTCTGGGGGAGTCAGCATTCACCCTCGGCTGGGAGGAAAGCTCTCCAAGCGGAAGTGACTGCTTGCCAACTCTAGTGAGCTCATTTATCAGCCTTAAACTGAGTATAAAAGATAATGAAGGAAGAAACACTCAACCTTTCTTCTCTCTTATCCCCTAATGAAAAACAAAGCTATAGACAAATTAAAGCATATATGATTTAAATAAAAAGACAAGATTTCCACTTGTGGATTACAATGCATGAACTATTGGCAAATGGCAGAATAAATAGAGTATGGAAATAGGAATTTAAACATTTCTAAATGTAGTTAAACGATAGGTATAACTTTTAAACACAATTAAGACACTAGTGTTGTCAAGTTAAGGTGCCTCTAATGCATAAAAATCAGGCCAAAGACAGTACAACAAAATTATGTGAAATATGCTCATTTATCAATTTCTAAATAAATCTGATTTATTTTTAACTGACATCTTAATTATCTGTATTTACATCTGGAATATAACAACTTTTCTCTCTTATAACAATCTGAGACAAACAAAATGTTATAATTATACATTAGCTGAGCCTCCTCAGTTTCTAGAGCCGAAATGTCATGTCAATTACTTAATGAGATTTAATTTTACCTTGTTTAATCTGTCCTTGCACAATATTTCTGGAAGTTGGAGGAGAACCCCGTGCCTTAGAAAGGTCTGGGGTGCTTGGTCTAGGTGGCCTTTAAAAAGAAGAAGAAATACATGTATACATACATTCGTATTTTCATTTAAAATATTAAACTTTCTAGTTCCAAATGAATTGAAAAAAAAAAGAGAGAACACTTTCAATTTACTGTTCCAAAAAGACAAGAGTTTTTTGTTTGTTTTATACCTATTAACATTTCCATTTCAAATTTTAATATAGTAAATTATTAGCAAATAGCAAGTAAAAGTTTCACATCTACAACTCATGCTTTATATTATTTCAAGAAATACTTATGAACACTTTAATGTACTACCACTGACAGATAAATATCATAATCAGTCCTTCACTGCTCAGTATTAGAATGCTGAGATTTCAGCCCATCTCCTATCATCAGTCCAAATGAATTTATGGGCCAATACATTGAGTTTTAAAAAATTCAGCCCTAAAATATGAAAGAAAGGTAACAAGGCATTAAGAAATCTTGGACTTTGGAAGCAGACTGTCTCATTTTGAATTCTGGCTCTATCACTTACTATTTGTGTGACCTTGGTCAAGTTACTTAACCTCTCCATGTTTCAGTTTTCTTATCCGTAATAAAATATAATAAAAGTACCTACCTTATAGGGTTAAGGGCGTTACTGAGATAGTATTCTGTGAAGTGCTTATAACAGAGCCAGACACAAGGCATATGCTGCTTAAGTATTTGTTAGATTTAAAAAAAAAAAATCTTAACATGGTCAACTCTCACTAAAGTATAATAAAACCACAGTTTAAAAAACAGTCCTCATGATTTCTGGAAAATAGGAAATAGCAATTCAGGTTAAGTATTCTAGAAATATTAAAATAGCACTCTCGTGCAGTTAGAAAAATTTTCTCTTCTCCCATTGAAAAATTCTGACTACATTTCTAACAAAATTCTGAAACCAATCACTCGACACATACTATTCATTACATGAATCACAACGAAAAGAAGCATTTTAACCAAATATACATTTTGAATTAAATACTGGTGCAAATTTTAAGCAGCTATAATTCAAAGATTATATTTACTGAAGTGCTAGTCTATAATTCATTTATTAAAGCTGAACTGTAACTTCCTCATTCCAAATTCTTTTTTTAAATAGCTAGTCATTATATATGAGTATCAATAAAACTATATAATTTTACATTTTATATCATACATACTGTGCTTTAAAATTTTAAAGGGGAAACACTGAGATGACACAAAAATGCTCAAGTGGGTAAGATAAAAAAGGTAATAAACAGTGACAAAAATAAAACAGGTTTGGTTTTTTGAAACATAAGAATAAAATCAAACTATCATGGTCACACCTGGTAGGGCCCTTCTTCATATGATCACCAATAAAAGTTGCATTTGTCATACTCATTAAGGTATTTGCCAGAGAGATGACAGACAGGAGATGCTGTGTGGTGACGGCTCGGGACACTCCATAGGTGCCCTTTCCTACTCCCTCGGTCGCTGGCAGCTTCCTTCCTACTTCTGCTTTCTCATGTGACAGTTTACAAGCAGCCCGATTATAACCAGGGAGCATCAGAGACATATGACCTCCTCTTGACAAGAGACCAAACGATACTGGGCAATGGGGTTTCAGCATTCCAAGGCGATCGAGACAAACTTCATCCAGAATTTCATTCAAACCCCAGGCATGGAGACAGGACATGAACAATTTTGCAGTGTCCATGGTTAAATTATATTCTAATAGGGTCAATGGCTTAGATTTGCTGGCTCGATATTCGGGATCACTTTCTTCCCTCCTCTGCCTCATTGTCTCCTCATCCTCCTCTTCGTCGTCAAGGAGATGCTCCTTTATATTCTCTTTGATAGTTTCCTTCACTTGCTGGAAGAGAACTGCTGCTCGTTTTCCAGTTAGAAAAGAGCCCCCTTTGTCTGACTTGCCAGATGCTTTTTGCAAATTCTCTGGGGAAATAAGCGCAGTGTTCGGCCTAGAGGCTTCTTCGGTCAGGAGTTGAATAATCAACGCTTCCACATCAAAGAAAAGCACGTGTATGTCTGGGTCTGTTAGGTTTGTCTTTATTGCTTGAACCATCAGGGAGTTATGAGAATATTTAGGTAAATTTCCCTGCAATAAATATTTTTAAAAGATGGTTATAATGAAAAGTGTTTAATTTCATATATTCGTTAAGGAACAACAGTCACCAGAATTCAAACATTTACTAAGCTGTCCTTTTAAGTACCTATATCATTAAAAGTAACTCACTAACTGTTCTTTGGCAGCATGTAAAAAATATGAACTTATGTGATCAGAACTTTACGCTGAAATAATTATGAAAGCATTGATTCATTTTTAAGAAACAAGAAAATAAAAGTTTATTATTGAAGCTGGGAGTTCTTTTACTTATAGAAAAGATTAAACTTTGTTTCGATGCCTTATATGCAAATTCATTCTGTGAGCATGAACTACTGCTGCACTGAAAGAATAATGCATTTATCACGGCCTCTCACGCTTTTAATGTCGCTGCACGAATCCCTTTTTCTCCTTTCCTCCATCTCTCCCTGTTCAGAAACTTTTCTCTCCACAGAGAACATGTTCCAGTCTACTTAGATTCTACAAAATGTGCTGTATTTTGAACATGCCCTATCCTGTAAGTATTTCTTTCTCCCCTATACTGCCCCTTTTAGCCAAATTTATGGAAAGCAGTAGACTAATCCAAAGAAAACTTTTCAGGCCCTCTCCTTCTTAATCTCTTTACAGTAGCTGACATTGTTTTCACTGAGAGAAGTATAAATAAAAAGAAAAAAAGCCACCTCTCCCAGTTTCCCAGAGAACAATTTCCTGATGAAACTTCTGATTCTGACCACCCTTCTTGGTCAGCTGCCCTGAAAACTCATTCTTCCTCCCACAGAAGTGACCACCGATATGTAGGTGGCACCTAATTTCCATCGTCAGCCAGACCAGCCTCCTGAAGGAGTTTCAATCCTATATTTCCTCCCGCTTATATGTGGACGTCCTACAGTACCTCGTATGTCAGGTGTCCTAATCTCCACCTTCCCACTAAACCTGCTGTACCTCTCATACCGTCAGTGGAGAATCGCTCCTCCTCCGTTCTGTCCCCACTGTCACTCTCCCCACATGCGGACCTGCATCTTTTCTCGTCTACACAGGTTTCACTGTCCCTAGTCTCTCTTTACTCCCATCCAACCTCCGTGGAGCCTCAAGACTTCTTTCTGAAGCATAAATCTAGTCATGTCACTCCTCTACCAAGAAATTGCGATTATGGTGGGTTATCAAGAGAAATGGCAAATACAAAATTATTAAAAACTAAATCAATATATAGGTGAATATATCTGATCTCAAGGTGAGAAGAGACTTTCCAAACATACTTAAATTTAAAATTAACTATTATGAAAGTATTATAAGGCTCGTAAGAAATAGGAATAAAGTGTGCTAGAAAAAGGACTGATGAGTTATAATCTATATAACTATTTCTTAAAATCGATAAGAAAAATATGAATGCCCAAATCAAAGGGGAAAATAGTACAAAGGTCAAGGACGATTCATAATGAAAGAAACATAAGTACTTTATAAATGGAGGGAAAAAACCTGCTCAAACTAGTTGGCAAGGAATAACAGTTAAAATAATCATAAGAGACGATTTACAAAACTAGCGAATAGTGTACACTAAAAAATACTGAGCCAGGAGTATAATGAAAGTCAAAGCCACACACTGCAGGCGTGACTTTAAACAGCAGCCTTTCGACAGAGTAATCTGGCAAAATATCGTGAGATCTAGTTTGATCCAGTATATTTATTTCTAGAACCCTATCCTAAAAAGAAATAAAATATATATTAAAAAGTCAGAAATAATATATATTACAATATATATTAGAAATAAAATATATATTAAGAAGTCAGAAAGAATATATATATTATAATTAGAAAGTAAAGTTCTAGGATAAAATGCAAAATCCTTCAGTGTAACAGTCAAAGCGCATTATGGATTGAAACCAAGTACTTTTCTAGCTTTAACGAACAGGCTCTAGCACCACAACAGTGGTCCCCGACTCATTAGCCCTTTTATTGACTCCTTTGCCTAAAATATTCTTCTTTGCCCTACTCCAGTCTCTTCTCTTCCATCGAGACCCTAATTCTCGCAATGAAAGTTAGTCCACAGTGAATCCAGCTCCCATTACATTTTATATCTACTATATATAATGGATTTGTATGTCTTGGTTATATTTATATAATTAGTAAGTTTACATATATACATTTTCCTGCACTGTACGGGTACTGTCTCTTACTCTTCTTGTAATAGTACTTGGCAGGATGAACAAGGAACATTATAAAAACTCTTTATGAAACTATTTTAAATTGTTAACCAACTCTTCTGTCATAAAATTACAATAAAATTCTCTTAATTGGTCTCTTTTCTGTCTCACTTCTCCCATCCATATTTCTTTCTAGTTTAAGAAGCTTCAACTGCATTTTATAACTCAAAGATAAAATCTTTGCAAAACATAAAACATCCTCCCAAATATAATGCTGCCGACTCCTCCAAATTCACCTCTAACCACAAACACTAACTCTTCTACTGCAACCAAATTCAACTACTTGTACTTTCCAGAACGCTGTAGTTTCAGGCATTTGCACCTTTGCATAGCTGACGCCGGTGCCAGGATGATGCTCCTTTCTCAGTCTCCCTACTGTCACTCAGGTCATACTTCTACCCATCCTTCAAGAAGTCTATCAAGTGGCTGCTCTTCCAAAAATTATTTTCAGAATTACCACTAAATTCTGCCTCTTTTGTGTAAATCTCTGCTCTGAAATGAATGAATGATATGTAAAGGAAGGTAGAAAATAAATGCTATTTCTATAGCTAAAGAACCTAAGGTATGTAAGTAATAGATAAATTTACACTCCATAAAATATGAAATAAAAAAAGTCAACACTTTCCAAATTTCATTCCTGGATTTAATTCATTCATTCCACATTCAGCTATGTTTACAAGATACTGGGGATACAAAGATAAATGTTTTTTCTAGCCATCGAACTCAAAACTAACCGTTAAATAGTAACATATAAAGAAATTACTATAATGTGGTGTGAACGGTGCTATAAATATAGAGAGATCCTAAGGTCAGATAAGGAATACAATGGAGAAAGTATCACGTCCACCTTGGGTGACCAGGGAGATCCTCACAGAAGGGGCAACTTGAGCCATGAAAGGATGCTCCTGGCAGAAAGATAGCAGGATGTGAAAAGGGATAAAGGCAGGAAACATCACAGGATGGATGTTGACGAAACCACAGGTGACCAAGAGGAAGAATGCAACGGATGGCTGTGAGAGCAGACGGTCTGCACCAAGGCCTCTGGATGGACAAACTGTACCTTGCAGTCTCGGGAGCCACTAAAGCAGTGCTTCCCTCAGAATCATCAAGGTGCCTGGGCCTGACCGCAGACCCGAATCAGCACCTCTGAGAATGGCCAGCACCTGCCTAAAGATTAGCCAGTGACTTCATGCAGAAAAGTTCGAGAACTACTGTGTCCACAGACTTTAATGAGGGGAATAACATGATCAAATTTAATTTTATAAATTAAAATTATAAAATTTTATCACCAGCAATGTTGGCTGAAAAGAAGTAATATGAGAGTCATGACTATGAACTGGGAGGAAACAGAAGCCATCCAGATGATAAAAGATAAAAGTACACGACAGTGCTGAAACGTCCAAGATGGGATGGACTGAAGAACGTGTACGTCACCCTTTTATTTCTCACGGTACTGTGCCTTGTATTTACTTTTTCAAACACTGAATGCGTAATGTCAGATACTATACTTGGTGGCTTGTACCTACTGACACTAATTTGACTGAATGATACATAAAATTCTATACTTACAATAACTATGTTACATCTAATACTGATATGAAAATTATTATAGCTGCCACATACTAAGCTGTTGCTATGGCCCAGGCATTATACCACCCATTAGGGTTGGCGACGCCACAGCAAAAGGTAAAATATCATATCAATATTAGGTAGGCAGACGTGACAGTAGGTATGAGGGGATAAGTAATAACAATATTAGATTTAAACAGAGCCCACCAGAGTACTTTAGTAGATATGGTTTTTCCAGTAAAGATCTGTAAAGTTATTTTAGGAGAAAGAGAGACCACTTTTACCAAAGAAAATAAAATCAAACATGTATGGTCAAAAAAATTATTGACGCAGCAAGAGTGGCCTGCAGAAAAAGAAGGCAAGAGCGACGACACGAGGTCGACCTTTAAGCTCTCTCCTGTGATGCCGACCACGCCCATGCCCCTCTCGGCACTCCCAGGTCTGCCCAGGTGTCCGCCTCTGTCGAGGGGTGTACCAGCAGACGGCCCATGTGCCTGGACAACTGAAAGGTTATCTAGGGTCTAGTGTCAAGATATCTGACTGTGATTGTGTGTGACTCCTCTTATCACAACCTCTCACGACCTGCTGACTATCGCAAAAACTGTACTAATAACAATCCATAGTCAGAAAATGGAGGAGGGGGGTGAGGAGGAGGAGGAGGAGGGGGAGGAGGAGGAGGAGGAAGAGGAGCAGGAAGTAGAGGAGGAGCGGCATCGTGATCATCCCTGTGAAGCCCCCGAGCTGTAAGTGTCCTGCCTTTGTACCTGGATAGCCTCTTCGAACACAATAAAAGTAGTTGAGAAGAGAATCGAGGGAGACTGAAGTGAAGGGAGAGAAAATGACTCATCTCCAGTTCTGGGATGAGCTATAATTTCTGACATTACCAAGTCCTGCATATGACTTGTTAATAATGCCTGACAATGGATTTTCCTTACTTGACAAATAAAGACTTATTATGACAAAATATAGATATCTAGCAAAGTTGTGAGGGTAAGATTTTAGCTAAATGCACAGAGATGGCAGAGTTGATCACCGACATGTTTAATATTCTAATGTGTTACACTAAGATTAGCTAAAGGAAAATGAACAAAAACATCTATCAAACTCCTAGGGGCTCTTAGCTTAATCATAAGATAGACATGTCTAGAGCAAACTAACTCATTCAAATCACCTTATATTCCTAATGATTTCAAATACATGCTGTAATATAGGCTACCTGATCCT